CAGCCGGCGGGAAGGGCCCGCCTGCTCCTGGCCAGGGCTATGACCTCCCCGGTTGCTGCCGTATGGGTGGTTGCGAGGGTTTCTGCCGGCCTCCTGCCGCAGCGGTAACGTAAGGGGTGCCCGGGAGAGCCTGAGCTGCAGCGCGGCCCTTGCCGTCTGCCGGCCTTCGCCGGGAAGCGTGTGAGCTCTGCTCGGGGGGCTGGGCCCAGCGCTCGGTGCGAGGAGCCCCCTTCCCGTGAGACCACAGGAGGCGTTTCAGTAAGCTCCAGTTGGGCCTCTCACCGTGTCATCCTGGCAGGGCTGTGCCCATAGAAGGCCTCAGGTGGAGGGTACGACTCTGTTCTGAGGCGTCACTGCTCGTTAGGGAGCCGTTAACGGCCTGTGCTGTGTTCTGGACGGCAGTGCATCTGTGCATACCGAGTCGGCTGCCCCTCTTACATGGACAATACTTTCCTGGTGCTCGAGGTGTCTCCTAGCAGTTTTTTAAGTGCCACCTTGTTTGCTAGTTGGTTTGGGGATGTTTTTTTCCTTACAAACTGCTGCATGGGGGTTTTGTTAGGAAGCATGTTTTGCCTTGTGTCACCCCAAGTTAACTTGGCATGACAGCATATGGTCTCTGGGATTCCCTCTGGATGTGATCACATAGCCATGGCTTATTGGTGTTTGGTGAAGGGATAGGGTGAAAACTCTTGGTGGATAAAACACCACCAGCAAGTCATAGCATCTCGGAAAAGTGTTCTTGGGAATGAGGGCTTCCCTCATCGTACAGCACTGATAAAGCAGCATGTTGTCAGCATGTGGTTATGTTCCTGGCTGAACATGAGAGTGAATTGAAGAGAGGGCACGGAAAAGGAACTACTGAACAACCCAGAGACCATCTACAAGCTGTGGTATGAAAAGGTCTGGTGGAAATGATTTGTAAGCTTTACTGTGCAGGTCCAACACTGGGATGAAAGTGACAAGCTGGATGAGAGACGGGCGTAAATGTGACTCCCATGGGGAATATCTCAATTGGGATGATGCTTTGTTATGAATTGCCTGCCATAGCCGTACACCAAGTAATCTTCACATTTAACTTACCTTGATGTGATTTGACGTTTGTGGCTTGATGAATTATCACACTTTCAACGTGAGCTTTGTAGAAGTTACACTGGTAGGGGGGTTGGTGCTGGAGACGTGCAGGCATTTTTCTGCAACGTGTTTTGCTGGTGTTTGTAGTGGTTTTTGACTTTATGTGCAATGGCTGCTGTGCAGGGACCCGCAGAAGCTTGTCACTGAAACCTCAAATAGGGCAGCATTCAGGAATG